CCTTTGAGTTCCTTCTCCATTCTTGGGTTGTTTTTCTTATTAAATCTGGATATGTATTGCCCAAATAGAAATGGAGAGTTCTGAAAAGCAGAAAATAGTTGGCAGATCATAGTGTCTGCCTTCCTGACAACCCATGTAGCACTTGGAATATTAGACAGATGAAACCCATTTTTCTTTATGAGGCAATGACATTTTCACAGTGAAGATAAGATTTAAAGATATTAAAATATTATTTATAGGGAATATCATTGAGTCTAAGTTATACCTGGGACTTCACATTGTTCTGTGTACTTTATCTCATTTAATTCATGAAAAGTGCAAATTTAGTGATTATATTCACATTCATTTATAAGTAAGTGTAGATATAAGCAAATAATTACACAGGGGCATAGACTCAAAAGTCAGAAGTCAAACCTGGTTCACTTTTGACTTCAGAACCGATGTGCTTTGTACTATACCATAAAGTTTCAGAGAAAGAACAGAAATTCTTTAGGTATAAAAATGGGTGAATAGGGGCTGGAGCAATAGTACAGTGGGTAGGGTGTTTGCCCTGCATGTGGCCGACCCAGGTTTGATCCCCAGAATTCTATATGTTCCCCTGAGAACCACCAGGAGTAATTTCTGAGTTCAGAGCCAAGAGTAACCCCTGTGCATCGCTGGGAGTGACCCAAAAAGCAAAACTTAAATAAATAAATAAATAAATAAAAATGGGTGAATAGGGAGGAGAGAATAGTCACTTCTAGCTTCTTTAGCTTTGAAAACTTGAAGTTATTGGCATCTTTCACAAAGTCTAACTCCTAAGAAAATTCTATGTTATTACAAACTATTGTTCTTATTAAAATAAGTAATAACCTCCATGATTGTGCGAGGAACACGGAGAATGAGAAAGTCACAAAAAGACACCTGTCTTCAGAAACTCTCCAGCTCATTCGCCAATGTGGTTTGGCACAAGCGGAGCATCAGGCAATCGCAAGCTAATGTCCAAGCTCGCAAAGCTGTGCAGAGAAGTGATAAAGGAAGACCTTAAAGAGAGAAGAGCAGCTTCTTCCCTCTGGAAAGAAAAATGGCAGCCGCTTGGGAGCTTTGTGGAAAGCCAGGTATGAGCTGGTCGTGATGGAGCTACTAAAACCTCATGGGAAGGGGGGCTTTCCCTGCTCGTCCTTCACGCCCTACCAAGGTCACCAGTTACCCCCCACGAGCGGCTCTCCGGCATGACCATGGCTCCAGAGCACAGAAACCAATCTCTTAATTATCTGACTCTCAGCAGAAATACTTCCAGGGTTAATAAGTAAAGTAGCAGAAATCCAAAACCGCGACATCATTTAATTCTTGAACCCAGCTGTAGAAAGCAAATCATTTCACAATGCCTTTTCAGCATGTCTGATTTGGGGGTGTAAACTATAAATAATAATGGTGCATCTTTTATCGAAACAATGAATCTAGTCAAAGTAGTCAAAGTAGATAGAGTGTTAACTAGAATTCATCTGCCTCACAGGCATTGGGAGGGTGGGGGGGGGTTATTGGGGTTCTTCGTGGTGAAAAATAAGTATTGGTAAAGGAAAATGTGTTTGATATTTGCATGACTGAGACCTAAACCTGAAAACTTTGTAACTTTTCCCATGGAGAGCGATAGCACAGCAGTAGGGCGTTTGCCTTGCACGCAGCCAACATGGCCGACCTGAGTTCGATTCCTCCACCCCTCTTGGAGAGCCTGGCAAGCTACCGAGAGTATCTCGCCCACACGGCAGAGCCTGGCAAGCTCCTTGTGACGTATTCAATATGCCAAACACAGTAACAACAAAGTCTCCAATGGAGACGTTACTGGGCCTGCTCGAGCAAATCGATGATCAACGGGAGGGCCTTCAATAAATAAATAAATTCAAAAAAAAGAGAGATAGAGAAAAGAGCAGCAGTGCTGCCTGATGAGGCAGAAGACAGGAAAAGTATTCGCAACACTCACCTGTCCTTCACCAACTTTAAGACCAAGATGACTGCCCTTCGACATCTTGATGGATCTATCACATCTTTCAGAAGGGCAATGGAGAAGATTATCCATGAGTTCTACTCGGATCTCTTCGATAGCCACGTTCACCTGCCCACATACCAAATTCCACAGGATGGATATTTCATGGGGCTGGAGCGATAGCACAGTGGGTAGGGCGTTTGTTTTGCATACAGCCAACATGGCCAACCCGAGTTCGATTCCTCTGCCCCTCTCGGAGAGCCTGGCAAGCTAACGAGAGTATCTTGTCCACACGGCAAAGCCTGGCAAGCTGCCCGTGACGTATTCGATATGCCAAACACTGTAACAACAAATCTCACAAGGGAGATGTAACTGGGCCAGCTCGAGCAAATCAATGAACAATGGGAGGACAGTGACAGTGACAATGGATATTTCATTCCCAATGTTCTCCCTTCTGAAATCCAACACGCCATTTCATCAGTAAGGAAGCGAACAGCACTTGGTCCAGACAAGGTCAGACCTGAACACCTTAAGAACCTGCTTTCAGTATTCATTAATACACTGGCTCAGCTCTTCACAAGATATGTGTCTGAATGCAAGGTTCTCTCCCAATGGAAAACCAGCAGGACTATACTACTGTACAAGAAGGGAGAATTCCACGACATTGGCAACTGTCGCCCTATCTGCCTGTTGTCTGTCATTTACAAGCTGTTCACTCAAATCATCCTGAATAGGATTGGCAGAACACTAGATGAAGGACAACCATGTGAACAAAAAGGGTTCCAAAAATGATTCAGCACCATTGACCATATCCACACGATAACCAAGCTCATTGAGGTTTTGCAAGAGTTTAAGATGCTGCTCTGTCTAATATTCATTGATTTAAAGAAGGCCTTTGATTCTGTTGAGACTGTAAAGGTCATTGAAGCCCTAGCCAAACAGGGCATTCAAACTCAGTACACCAGGATCCTCCATGAACTGTATTACAGATTTACCACCAGGATCTCACCATTCTACAAGGAAGTGATCATAAACCTAAAGAGAGGTGTTCGAAAAGGTGATATCATTTCACCAAAACTCTTCAGTGCCACCCTGGAGAACGTTATGCAACGACTGGAATGGGAAGGAATGGGAGTGAAGATAGACGATCAACAACTACACCACCTCCACTTTGCTGATGACATCATTTTAACAACACCAAATATCAGCCAAGTGGCACGAATGCTGGCCTACTTCGACCATGAGTGTGGAAAAGTTGGACTGCAGCTAAATCTCATGAAGACAATGTTCATGAGAAATGGACTAGTTCCTGATGTTCCATTTGCCCTCAATGAAACAAACATCTCCAAATGCAGCATTTTTCTGTACCTAGGTGGAGAACTCAACATGACAAACAACCTGGCACCTGAAGAAGAGGAAGAGAGTGATGTGGAATGCCTTCAAGAGTGTCGAAGAAGTGGTTAAGAGGACGAAGAACCTCCGGCTCCAGGCACATCTTTTCGACCCCACCATTCTTCCTGTACTAACATACACCTCAGAGATCTGGACCCTACAAAAACAGGACGAGAATGCTATTTGGGTCTCCCAAAGAGGAATAGAAAAACTCAAGTGAGAGAAGGAATTCAGAGTTCCACCCTCCATCAACAATCAAGAATCAAGAATCAGGGACGCTGTCTCATTTGCCAAGGAGTCAAAAATCAGATGTGATGGACACGTAATGTGATTTAGAGATGACTGCTGGACTAGATCTGTTACCGACCTGATTCCATGGGACATCAAAAGGACATGTGGCCACCCACCTACAAGATAGTCAGACTTTTTCATCAAAACCCTGAACAAATGGTTTGAGGTTCTTCATGTTCCTGGAGCGAGTAGATGCAATTGGGCTATACTAGCACGTGACAGGGACAAATGGAGATGTTACTGGCCTCCCTCTCAGGTAAATGGATGAACAATACGATAACATTGATACAGTGATACATTGATACTTTTGTACATTTTTTGTTTAAAAAAAAGTAGCACTATCTAGTAATTATTTTATTTTACTTCCATTCTGTTTGCTTTTTAATGTTTTATGATAGCACAGTGGGTAGGGCATTTGCCTTGCACACAGCCAACCTGGGTTTGATACTTTTTTCCCTCTTGGAGACCCTGGCAAGCTACTGAGAGTATCCCGCTAGCACGGCAAAGCCTGGCAAGCTCCCTGTGGCGTATCTGATATGCCAAAACAGTAACAAGTCTCACAATGGAGACATTACTGGTGTCCACTTGAGCAAATCGATGAACAACGGGAGGACAGTACTACAGTACTACAGTTATATCCATCATATTTTCTTTCCCCTCATCCTTCTTTATTGGTTATTGTTAGAGTTGGGCATCTCACACTTGGTTGTGGTCATACACCCTTGGTTGTGAAGCTCTAAAGGGCTCATTTATTTTGACATTGGGCATCACATCAGGCACCACAATCAATAATAGGGGGAGGTATTGGGGGTCTACCTCTTGGCTTACACAAGGGACGATCCCTCCACTGAGTCACATTTCTGGGCACCCCTATTTTCCTGCCTTTTACTCAGTTGACTAAAAGATAGCCATTTACTCAACTCCAGACAGAGTAATAAAGTAAAGCAGTGAAATAATTCACATCTATACCCTTGTACTGACCACTCCTTGCTTGGTCTTTAGGGAAACAGAGTGACCATTTAGAGTCATGACACATCTTGTCTCAAGTTCTCCACATGCCTTTCTTTATAGTCTCTCTTTACCTACCGACTGTCCTGGGAAGCTATACATCCACGTGTTCTACTAATTTAAATTAAGGTAGGCTTCATTTTCAGAAGTTTGTGTTTGGGAATCTTGTCCTCCAACATATGAGGACAAGCTTTGAAAAGGCAGCAGCAATGATGGTTCCTTAATGGCCTGATATTGTCCCTTTCTAGAGGTGTTTGAGGAGGAGGGGATGGAAAGTGACAGCTGTGTGATGGGAAGCTAAAGAGGATTTGAGTACAAGAGCAGGTGCCCCTCAAACACTGTGCCGCTGCACAGATGTAGATGCCTGTATCTTCAGGCTGGGCAGCAGTGATGAACAAGGAGCTTTGTTTTCTTGAATTATCAAGCTGAAACATTAATCTCTTCTGAGTCTTTGGTTCTCCACCCTTGGTTAATGCTGTCAGGAGAACAGGACCTTTCCCAGGCTCCTGTCTATACCATTGAAAGGAGGGCAAAGTGCTTGAGGATTTGCAGAACACAGTAACATTTTCTCCCTCCTGGATCTTTCGAAGCTGAGGATTCTGCTCCAGCTGCTGAGTGCTCACCCCTATTTGGAAACAAAGCAGAGAAGACATTAGGATTAAGGAAGAGGAAGAGGATTAAGAATTCTTCCCCAATTTAAGGTGATTATTTCCTTCTTTTCCCTCTCCCTCACCTTCTCCCTTTCCTCTTTCTTTTCTTTACTCTTGAACAAAATAACCCATCCTTAAGAATTTCCCTGTCCTTAAGGTTTCCTGTAAGTTTAAGGAGAAGTATCTTAAATTTACATGCCACTTGAATCCAAAGGACCAACAGTGAGAGTTTCGGGGGCATCTGTCCTTCCTGTCGCGCACAGTGGCCTCTGATGTTAACTGCTTTCTCGAGTAGCTTTCTTGGGTGAGGTAAACTCTCGTCACCTTTCATCTGAGCAAAAGGTGGAGCTTCTGTGTGGTGGTCACTTGAAACTCCTTCCTACCTCCTTTCCTCCAACCTCAAACATTTGTTCTGACTGTGGGGAAGATTTTGTCTTTTGAAATACTACCCTCCTGTGGAGAGAGAAAAAAGTGATTCGCTCTTGATAATGCTTCTCTTTCTTCCAATTTTATGTGATATGCAAATATCAAGATTTGAGCATATTAAAGTATCAAGATTTAAGTAGCATACTCAAGTATCAAGATTAAGTAGCATGTTAAGTAGCATAAGTGACCTTATTCAGAAACAGAGAAATATGTCTTTTTTAAAGTTTGATTATTTTCAGCCAGAACAACAAAGGTCATGTGAAGAGATGGTCCTAGTACACAATTAATCACCTCTCTCTCATCTTAATAATCTAGTATATAATGTAATCAGTGAGGTCCAAGCACATGGGTAATTTTTTTATTTGAGAAACTTTATCAGTGTATTGATGCCTTTAAACACTATAGATATCAATCCATTTAAGCTTCAATGCAACTCTGGGAAATTGACAATATTATCCCCATTTTCTCACAATGAAAAATTGAGGTACAGAGGTTAACTAATATTTCTAAATTATATGACTAATTAGTTGCAGGGTTGGGCTTTAAGTCTAGACAATACAAATAAATATAAATGTAGAAATGTAGCCACCTTGGTAAGCACCCTCTCAGATAGTCTAAAGCATGTTATGAGAAGTTGAAAGACCAGCAGCATTCCTTTCTGTGAACAGATTATGAATACTCAATCATAATCTGGAACAAGATACTCACAAGATCCACATCAGAGTTTCAGAAGCTGTAATGCGAAGGTGACATAGCAGCGATCTTAGATCATTGTGCTAATTGGTGAGACTAAATATGAATCCAAACAAGCTGCTAGATCCAGTTAACAGATACACGTATCTGTTAAAACTACCTTGAACTTTATGGAAATTTTAATGTCACTTTCCCTTAAAGTATCTATTAATATTCATTTTCTTCACCCACTTTCTAGACTCAGTCACTGAGATTTTTTTTCCTTAAGTCTATGAAGATTCTGGGTAAATCCTGTGCTTTATCTGTTCAACTTCCTCCATAGAAAATCTGTTTCATCCCCTTTTATCTAGTCTGAAATTGCATCTTCCTGAACAAAAGAAAATACCTTTTATTTTACCCAACTTATTCAAGTGAGTTGTTATAAAAATCCTAAAAATTTTAAGGTGATTAGAGTGAAAAAAGTTTGAGCTGAATTTTGAAATCTAGGATTTGATGCCATTGGGTTCCACAGGTATAAGTTAATTAACTGGTCTGTCTTTCCAGCTAGTGCATCAAAACAACTCCTTCCACGTTAGTTTTATAGAATAACTGTGCATCTCTAGCAACCCTTGACTACCCTGAAAATTAGAATATAATCCATTTCAGAAATAACCTACATTATACCTTACCAATACAATAAGATCCTCCACTCATTTACACCATTCTTCATTAGTTTTGCATTTTTTGACAAATGCACATCTTCATTTTAGGACATATTCTATAGCATGCTTAGGAGAGACAGTGCTGGTGAAATTTTCTTCACATAATACAGAAAAAAGCCTTCCTAAGATCACAATGAAGGGATACTGAGAACAGGGTGAGAAGTCAGTTTTCTCTTTCCTGCTTTTTAAAACACTGCCGCAATGAGGCAGGAAATAATGATATAGGGCAAAGAAAATCTTCCTTCCTTCCTTCCTTCCTTCCTTCCTTCCTTCCTTCCTTCCTTCCTTCCTTCCTTGCCTCTGGCAGTGCTTGGGGTAGAATACAGAGCCAGGAATCAAACCCAAGACTTCCCTAGGCAAAATCTCTATTCCAGTCCTTTGAGTTATCTCTCCAGCTCCCAAATTCATTTATACAGTGTACACCAACTAAGTAATGCGCTGGAGGCAGGGTGGGGGGAATTTATGTTCATCTTCTGTTACCAACTAGCTTACATGCAGTCTTTAGAACAAAGAGAGCACTATGCATAGTTGATAAACAGTAGAAGTAAAGATATTGTACTCCAGCTAAGAATTAAGGCCAGTAGACAAGAAGAAAGAATTTCCATTTCATCAGCATAAGGAAAAGTAGCAGTAAAAAACAGGACATTTAAAAATAACTCTTTAGAGAGATGTGGATCAGATCTTAGGCAATGAATCAATCAAAGTTTAGAGAATGTTCTGTCAGATTCTCTCAAGCCAGTCTGCCGTTTCACAATTCAACAGGCATCCGGGAGTCTGTGTGACTGGGTCTCTGAGCAGATAACTGTTCAGTCATTTCAAAGTATTTCTTACTGTTGTTTCTCATGTCCTCTGCCTTTCTTCTACTCTGTCCATTATTTACTTCGAATAAATGTATGCAGGAAAATTCATCAGTGATCTTACAAATGGAAAATATTTTGCTTAAAGTTATGGCTACGAATATTCAGAACTCAGTTTATGCTTCATATTACACTAGCTGTGTAATCATGAATAGATGATGTTTTCTGGGTCTCTTCCAATTTGCCTTTTAGAATTTACTGTTTTCATAGTGTGCTAGGATGTGAGTTAGATTTTTGAAAGACTTTTTTTCACCATTAGAACTTCTGAAAAGTTGTTATTATCTTCTTAATCATCTGAGAATATAGATGCTAAAACTGGAAATATAAGATTTTTTTTAACTTCTCCCCTTCTCTTTCCTTTTGCAGTTGCAGTTCTGACAGTTGTACTCTTGTGGCAGGTCAGAGGGTTACATATATGTTGCGGTATACCTGGGATCACACAAGCAGTGCGAGAGACTGGTGTCTAGGTGGTGATGTGGGATGGTGGCAGGGATCAAACTCTTGTCCTCATACATATTAGGCTGGCTCTCTACCACTGAAAATCACATTCTGCTTATTAATTTAAAAGTATTTTTATTTATGGGTCTCACCCAGCAATGTGGGAAGGTGGTGGTAGTACAATTCCCAGTGAAGCTCAGCCCCAAAAAGTGTGGTCAAGGATCTGATGCTCCTGTGTTTGGAGACCTCCAGGACTATTTATGGTGCTCAGGGGCCATGAAGTCAACACTCAGTGGTGCTTGTGGGTGGTCCCGAGATCAGATTCAGATCCTCACACATGCTAGGCATGTGCTCTACCATTTTAGCCACTTACTTGAACCTGACTTATCAGCTGTAATTCACTTGACAGTATAGTTCAAAATAGGGCACACATTCATTCAATGCATAAACCTATCTTTTAGATGGTTTGTCAAACTGTATTACTAAAAAGGATTGTTTATACTTTCTTTGCTATAATTTGTATTTATATTGAATAATTTATACAAAGCATATCACATAATACCTGCTACATAGTAAGTTCACAATTAAGGAAACACCAAAAAAGTAGTTGAAGAGGGTAGGAGAGGAAAGTAGTAGGAAATCATTTGAGCTGTTCTCAATGAGTATTTCCTAGGAGATGAAGATTGTTGAATTTACTTTGTTCATTTTGTTATCTAATAAAAGTTGATTTTTTTTTGGTGAGAGCCAACAACCGTGTTCTGTGGGACTACTCCCAGTTTACTATTTAACATTGTTCTTAGTGTTGTTCAGGGGACCATGAGATCGGACCAGGACTTCTTATATGAAAAGCTTGCACTGTAGCTTCTTGGGCTATTTCTCTAGCAGAATAAAATGAAATTTTCTAAAAAGCGATGTCTTTATTTTTTTAGAGCAGTTTTAGCTTTGCGGGGAAAAAAACTGAGTATAAAGCACAGAGAATTCCTATACACTCAAGTGGGGGAATTGATTTTTACACTCTCACGTATCAGATAAAGTACAAAAGACCTGGGGATTCTTTTTATTTCTTTTTTCTTCTATCATGCTCTATAATGCTTCTGACAGTTCAGTGAGATGTCAGCTTGCTGGTACATTGTTATTTGGGATGCATACAGCAAAAGGTGGGCACTGTGCAGAGAAGGACTCTACTTCCATGCCCAATCACCCAATCCATTCTGTACTTATAGGTTCCTGCTCCCAGGTCACCTGTGGTCTAGTCTGAGTGGTGATTTATTTTGTCCATTCTGTCATTTGTTCCTAGGCTTTACCAACTACCTGACTGGAATAGTCTTTTTTGTTTTGTTTTGTTTTGTTTGTGAGTCATACCCAGCAATGCTCAGGGGTTACTCCTGGCTTTGCACTCAGGAATTACTCCTTCGCAGCGCTTGGGAACTATATGGGATGCCGGGAATCAAACCCGAGTCTTCTGCATGCAAGGCAAATGCCCTACCCACTGTACTATCACTCTGGCCCTGGAATAGTCTTTTATCTATCCCTTCAAAGACTAAGGGAAAGCAAAATGGCAGAGTTCCACCTAATGATTAGCCAGGTTTTACCCTGAGTGCAAACACCATACCCTGTAAAGTCCTAGAGTAATTCATCCTGTCTCTATTAAGACAGCAACATTCAACTTGTGAAGATCATCTTCATAGCAGGCAATTGTATAAAAGATGAAGGAATAAAGCTCTCCTGTACCTTCTTTGAAATCATTTTATAACAGGAAGGTTTGTGACCTGCTCTAAAATCGTGGCCTCTGACATGAACAGAATTGATCTCCAGGCAATCTCTGAGCCCAGGAAAGCAAACTCAGTTTGTAAGAGGAATGACAGTTTCCTGCTGGGTATCTGGTGCGGTAACAGCAGAAAATTCTCATTTGCTGGTGTTTCCTGGATTGCTGACATTTTTTTTTCTTCATTGAATATCATGACCTGGAATACAATGACCTGGAGTTATTAATTTCAGACTTTTGCTCTTTTTCTTATGGAACCATTTAGGATTGCACATTTTCATCTAAGCATTTATTTATATTTTATGGTGAAACGTTTGATAAATTTCAGTAAATTCATACTGGTTGAATGTTGTGTAATTTT